CACAAATAACCCAATCTTATTTAAACTAATCAAAACGGTCAGAAGATGACTACTTCTTTGTTCTTCCCATCAGGTTGCCTAGTAGGGTCTAGATCTTGCCCAGGACAAGCAAGAGACCCTCCCTTTCTCCAGGCCTAACATTTTCATTTCCTTTCACAGGTCCTGCTATTCCAGCAACGCTCAGTGTGGTCCCGCCAAATCTCTCCTTTTTCTCCTTTAACTGACATAGTTTCTTTCCATTCCACTCACTGCATAAAGTTTTGCTCCAAGAGATTTTGAGTACTATCAAGGTAGAGGTCAGTTTGTCTAGCAGGCATCAGATTCTCATGTTAAACACTGAGGTTCTGGGCATAGCTAGATAAGCAAGATCTCTGGAGGATGTGATAACAAACTGACAGCTGTTTGAAACTGCCTGCTCAGTGATGCAGAAATTTATATACACAAACTGTAATGAAGAGGTTTATATGCATAACTCTAATATAGATTTCAGTTTTGAAGACTTTACGGTCATTTAACCATTTTGCTTAGAACTTGAGTCTTTCTTCCATGAATTTGTAAGGGCAAATTTGAGTTTAGACAAATCTCCCATTTTTTGTATGGCAGGGTAGTTTCTCTGGCCCTTTTATTGAAGAAACTCTTTGCATTCCACTCCTTTCCTCAATGCCATGGTTGAAGAGATTATCAACATAATATAACAAGAAATGGGCTAATTTGTTATGTAAGTAACAGGTTCTCACATTAAACACCATGTGGTTCTGGGCAATGCATAATCCCTGCAGTGAGTACAGTTCCCCACACCTATCTGTGTATTATCTAGAAGTGACAGTCCTCAACTTGGTCAGGTAAGGTGTTGATTGTTGTACACTCTTTTTTTCCCCAGATCTTGTATAGGGGTAAAGACCACGTATCTGTAAAGTATGTCTATAAAACATTTAGATAGTCTTGCCTTTTAAGAGATACCCTTTTTTATTTTCCATGTTACTAGAGATTAAACCCAGGGCATTGTGTGTGCGGTCAAGTGCTCCAGCACTGAGCATCCCCAGGCTTTTTCAGAGACTTTCAATAATTGCAATCTTTCTGCCTTAAGTCTCTGAGTTGCTGGGATTACAGGCATGGGCCACCACACTCAGCTTATTCCATAATTATTAAAGACAGCTTTCCAGCTTCTCTAGGCTTAGAAAAGCCTAGAGAATATACTTTCACCTACTCATTATTTCAACTACCGAGCAGGTATTGCCAACATCCTAGGAATATAATGCCAATTGAGAACACGATCTTTTCTTTAACAAACTTATCTAATGGAGGTGACAACTGAAAAAAGAATTACAAAATAGAAGTCCCTCTGATCAGAGAAAAAAAAAACTTAACAGTCTGACAACATGACTGGGGGACTCTCAACCTGGCAAGTGTTTGGGAGTTGAAGAGAATTAAGAGACTTCTGAAATAACTGATGTATAAATTGAAATTTGACAGATTGCTAGGAGTATAGAGGGAAGGTGTTGGTGTAGAAACTGTCAAGTGTCCTCAGAGAGGTCTAGAAGTGAGAAAAAAACCTGACCTATTCCGGGAAAAGAGAGAAATCAACAGACTATAGCTTGAAAAGAAGAGAACATTAGGCTTGGAGATAAGTGGAAGCAAGCTCACAAGTCTGTAATAACTTGAGGAGTTTGGGCTTGATTCTAACAGTAACAGAAAACTGCTGAAGAGGTTTCAAGCAAGAGTGGCAAGAGATAAATTCTGTCTCAATTGCCTCTTAAGTAAATGGTTAAATCAGAAGAGCATTTTGAAATATAGGGCTCCAAAAACAGTACTGAATTATGTATTATAGTCTAAAATCTAAGAGAGCTTTTTAATAAGCATTTTTTTGCCTTCAAAACACTCTAGGAGAACATTAGCCTCAGCAAACGGAAGCCCTTGATAACTATCTTTTATTCCAGATGAGTACAGAATTACCCATTAAACTTATGATGGAAATAGTAATCTATGTCAGAAAAAAAGTACAGTTTGACTTCATAGTATTTTACATGAGAATACAAATTTTGTCATAACTATATGTTAACATTATAGGTCAACCTTAGCATTTCAGTATTGGGAAAGACATTAAAGACAGGGTACTTCTTTACAAGATAATCACAAATAGGCAATTATTTAAGATCTGGATTCTTTTTGCAGGATTTTGGTATTAATCCTAACAGTAACTGATTTTTCACAACAGATGAAAAATAAGTGTTCCTACTCAGATATTTAATTATCAGCAGATATTTAATTATTAGCCTCCAAAATGGCTTCCAATGGTCCCTCACTGTTGGTATTACGTCTGTGTGTAGTCCTGTCACATCTCAACACTGAACCAGCTTGTGGATTTTGAGCCCTTTCTTCGATCTTTCACAGGAAGAAGTCAGCCTGCTGACTATAAACTCAGTCTGATGCCTATTTCTCTAGACAACTCCATGTGATAAAGAACTGAAATCTTTCATCAACCACCAATGAGGAACTGAGGCCTTCCTGCTGGTAATGTGAACAAACTAGGAAGCAGAGTCTCCAAGTGCAGTTGAGCTATAAGATGACTGTGGCCTTAATCACAGTGTGGGAAAAATTTCATGAGAAAACTTTAGCCAGAAATGCTCAGCTAAGCAACTCCTCCATTCCTGACCCTCAAAAATCTATGTGAAATAATACAGGTTTGTTGTTTCAAAGTGCTAAGTTTTGGTGTAATTTGTCATGCAGTAAGAGAACAGACATGACACACTTTGCATTTGTTGATATCTAAGTAATTCTTTTCAAAACACTGAAATACACTTTGACTTTAAATTACAACTAGTGGTCTTCTTTGAAAAGAGATGATTATATAGTTTATACAATAGGTAATAGGATATTGAACAGTAATTTACAAGTTGCTGATTTTAATGTAACTGAGTTCTTGGCAATCATTAAAATTGAAATCTGTCCACACATAGCAATTAGCCATGACTCCATGACTGTATGTTCCCAATTTAGTAAAACAAAACAAAACAAAACAGAAACTTTGATATAAAAACATTAATTTAAAGCTATCAAGTTCTTCTTAGTTCTGAGTAACCCATGTAGGATATAAGTGGGAAACAAGGCCATCAGTTGATAGTGATGACCCTCTGTAATTAAATAGAACCTTCACAGTGTTATCCTTTGAAGGACAACATCCTGGTAAGCAAGCATAGCAGCTGAAGCAGTAGTTACTTTTCTTTTTAAATTTTATCTTCTTTGAAGTCTTGACCCAATTATTCACTCGGCATTCCATCACAAAATGTTTGAGCCTTTTCTACAACCCAGACATAGCTACAGAATAATGAAATAGATCCTTCAGTCTCTTGGAGTGGAAAAAAAAATTAAGCAATTACAACACAGTAGTAATTAGAAGGGAAGGAAAACTAGAGGGTCCAGTGGAAGTACCAGGCCGGGTATCTACCTCAATACAGTCGCGGGGAGGGATTTGGGAGAGAATCTAGAAAAAACTTTGCAACGGACATCTAAGTTTAATGTTAAGGCACCAGAAAATATTTCAGGCAAAAAGAGTCCCAGATAAAAGGCCAAAGGCAAGCAAGTTGCATTTGGAAGCTCAGATGTCCAGGTATGCTTTGGCATAATGAAGGCAAGTATGGCGAGAGCTCCAAGGAAATACATCCTAAAGACTGGCACAATTCCTTTTCAGCAGAGTTGACATGGGAAGAATTCTGAAAATGAACACATCTTTAGGCCTTGATATTTTATATCATTTCTGAGAACGTTTATTCATGTAACACAAAATATCAGGTGATTATCATCAAAAAGATTACACATCTTTTTGGTAAGAACTTTGAGGTTGAAAATGTGCTTTGAGTTTCAGTTTAAGAACAATCTCATGTGGGGTAACGGTTAGATAAAATAAATGTACAGCATCTTATACACACCAGGTGGTCAAACATTTTTCTCTCTGTTGCTTCCAAAGCACCTGGTGGCTTCTGAACTGAAAGCCTCATGTCATAGTATGTGACCCCATATCTGGTGGAGTTCTGTGTGCTTCTCCTGGCCATCTCCTATGTCCCTCCCACTAGGTTCTAGTCCTTCCTCAGTGAACACTATCATTGGTTAGACATGCCAGCAGGATCCCTGCCTAATGATCACTGTCATACAATAGCAGCTGTAGCACTTGTAAATAAGAATTATATCTGCACACACGGAGACTTAGATGATCACACTACCTGTACTTTATATCTGCATATATACTTGGCCTCAATTATCTTTTAATAATACTATTTAGTGTTATAATCACTATTTGGAAGATGAGAGCCCTAGGTTCAGACAGTACAAGTGTCACTTGCCCTGATCTAAATTTTAAACATCGCATCTTATTTTCTAAAGAGTTCTGTCAACTCTACAAAGGCTGCTTTCAAGCTAATGCTGCAAAAGGTATATACTGTTTCTTTTAAATGTTGTTAGAACTCATAGAAATAAATATATACCCATTCATCAGTTTCTAATGTGGCCTTTTACACATTAGAGAAGGTAGAGAAGGGTGGTCCAATCTCAGAACAATCTATCAGGAAAAAAAAAAAAAAACCCACCTCCCTCACTTTAGAACAAGAACCAGTCTCCACTGTCCAGTTATATTCACAACAGTAAAAACTAAGCTTCCTATTTTCTTCATAATGAAAAGCTGCCTCTTCTGACTGAAAATCAGTGCACAAATGTAAGGTTTCATTCCTCTGGTGGATTTAAATAAACAGACTTTACTTGTTTTAAAAAAAACTGGGTGATATGAATTAATATTAGGAGAAAGAGATCAACCTTTACTCTCCCTAAAACTTAATAAAATTCTGAACATTAGAGTACAGTATACTGATAATGTAAGTATACACATGTGGATATAAAATGATGGACATCTTTGGCGATAACAGGCACAATATTTCAGTAGGTTGGGTGGGGATCCTGGCCACGCATTTGGCAACATCTCATCTTGTGTGTGGTCTCAAAGGCAGAAAAGAAATCTCCCTCAAGTGGTGAATATCAGTTCTGAGGTTAGACTCCATGGGGGAGTGTTGTAACAAGCCTGAAATCCCTGTTCTTCTGAGTAGAAACGTTATCAGTCCATGAACAAGAAAAGCAGCGCTCACCAGCATGAGGCACTGGCTTTCTTCTAATTAGCTCAAGAGAAAGGGCAACGCGGGCTTTCCTAGTGAGCGCCTCTAGTCCTCTGATATTTGCGCATCTTACCTGGGCCTTTCCATACAAATCTACATCCTTAAGGAACAGTGTGAAAGAAACAAGATCAATAATAATAAAAAATCCTTCCAGCTATAAATCAGCCACGTGGAGCTACTGCGGCGGAGACAGCCCCGACTTCCTGGTTCGCTTCCTGCGAGCCTCTCGGCTGGGCTCGGGCAGCAGAGCCGGGAGGGGACGTGGCCGGGAGCCGCTGGGGTCCGCGGCAGCTCGCAGGGCGCGGGCGTTAAGGCCAGAACAGTGGTCCACGATTACCATAAAAGTTTGGGAATCCAGAGCGTTAAGGCGCCGAGCTGCAGGGCAAAGGCTCAAGTGTTAAGTTAGTTCCAAGCTCACGAGGATCGTGGGGTTAGCGGAGACAGGGGACTGTGGATCTGGAAGGGGCAGGGGGCGACAGGGCGCCCAGTGGGCCGGGGCTCGGCGGTGGCCGCCTGACTGGAGGGGGCGCAGGAGGAGCCCGGGAAGGCAGCGCGAGGGGAGTTCCGGGGCTGGAGCGGGAGAGGGAGGCAGCGGAGCGGTAGGGGTGGGGGAGGAGAGGAGGAGGGGAAGGAGGGAGGGGAGAGCCGTGGCGGCGGCTGCGCCGGGCTGTGTCTCTCGCCGCTGGAGGAAGATGAGGCTGAAGATTGGGTTCATCTTACGCAGTTTGCTGGTGGTGGGAAGCTTCCTGGGGCTCGTGGTCCTCTGGTCTTCCCTCTCCGCACGGCCGGACGACCTGAGCCCGCTGGGCAGGATAAGGGTGAGTGACCCGCCGGCCCCTCCGGCGGCGGCGCCCGGCAACTTGTTTTGTTTGCGCGCGCGTGTGGAGGGAGCGGGGAGCGGGGAGCGGGGAGCCGGAGGTGGCGGGGGTGCCGCGGCGTGGGCGCCGCAGCTCCGCAGGTGGTGCTGGTGAGGCGTCGTCCGGGGGCGCCCAGCCCGAGCCCCGCGTACCTCATCCCCGCGGCCGCGCCGGCCCGCCCCCCGGCCGCCCCTTCCTCCCGCGCTTCCCCGCCCCGGCCCCGCGGCGGCGGCGGCGGCTCGGCGGACGCTCGCTCGCGCGCGCAGAACGCCTGAAGCGCGGGCTCCGGGGCCGCGGCTGCCGCTCAGCGTCCGACTCTGTGGTTCCGCGAGCACGGCGGTCGCGGCCGGGGGGCGCGGGGTGGGTCCGGGCTGCGGCCTGAGGCGCGTGCAGGCCGAAGGAGGCGAGATGCCACCCTCACCACGGCTGCCTGGTGGGCCCGGCCGGCGTCCCGCCTCCCTTTCCGCAGTCCGGGTGCTCGCGACCGGGAGCTCCTCCGTCCGCCGCTGGCGCCCCGCCCCCGGCTCCTACGGACTGAGCGCGCCGCCGCCTTCCAGCTCGCCGCTCTGGAGCTCGGTGCGATGTGCGGCGGAGGCCTCGCCCTGGACCGGCCGACCGCTCGCTTCAGCCGACCTGGGAGGGGCGCCTGCCTCCACCCCGGCGCCCGGGAAACCTCTCACCGCTGGCGTTACGCGGTGCTGCCCCGGGGACGCGGCGGGTTCGCTTCCCCGGGCCGAGGTGGCCGGAGAACTAACTTGTGCCGGTGCCCGGCCGCCGGCTCCCTCTACCCGACGCCGAGAGGCGCCGGGGCGCGGAGCTCCGCTGGGACGCATTCGTCTGCTGCCGGGGCGCGCGCATTAGCTTTGACACTCCTTGGCTTTGGAGGTTTTAATCGGGCGCCTCGAAACATTAGTTACCGCGAGCCGCTGCCCCTGCGGCTGCACCGACTGCACGGACCCCTCCGTTGCCTGGGCGAACCGGCCTCGTCCCCTGGCCAGACCCGCTGCTCTTGGGGTGGACCGTCGTGGCCCCCTCCTTATCCCTGAGCTTGGCCCCCTACTCCCCACCCTCCGCTGGCCGCTGGTGGAGGAGGAAGTGTGAGGGGCTCAGGGTTTGGGAGAGGCCAAGAAGCCCCAGTGGGGAGTCTGTCTGCAAATATGGTCAGCACTGCATCTATGTGATGATCTTTATTAACTTTTCTCCTGCAAAGTTAACGTCAGGAAGTTGAAGAGGTTTGTGGCATTTTTTCAACAGTAAAAATCTTAGGAGGAGGTCTAGGCTGTGTCACAAGTTAAGCTGTACACTTAAGTATTGAAAATTTACTGTATAAAAAGAATCCATTTGTAATACCTACAGTGGATTCCTATGTAAGTCAATTAAATTGGTGCCAAGAAAATCAAAATTTCCTTTTCAGAGTGTTCGCAGCAGTTTTAAACATCTGATTTCATGGAATGATGGTGACCTATTAAGAGTTTTATTTTTCAAGATGATTTACTGACAGGGAAACAGTTGCCTGAAAATACTTCTTTTAGCCCATTGGATGGTCTTATACATAATGCTAAAGATACTAGCACCCATTTTCTGGAAGAGGAATTAAAAATGACGAAACTAGCCCTATTCAAGATATTCAGTAGTGCTGATGGATTCACCTGTTTGTGACAGGGTTTCACTTTGCAGCTCAAGTAGGCCTCCATTCTTTGCAATCCTCCTGCCTCAGCGACCTGAGTGTTGGGATTATATGTGCACCACCATGCCTGACACTGAAGGGTTTTAAACAGGAGTGGACCTAGAATATCGTGCCACTTCTAGACACTAGAGATGTTTTGTTAGTGCTTGTTTGTAATAAGTGTTACAAACTTAACACGACGGGGCCGCGACGGTCCAATAGCTGTGAGGTGGTGGTCTTATTTTGGTTAAACATTTCATAGTCAGCATTTCCAGTATAATTTCTGTTGTTTGCCAAAGATAAGATTTACCAGCATAACTAACGTTATAAAGAATGCATAGATAATCAGGAAAGCAAAAACATTTTATTAGCTTTTCGGGACGACAGTAGTTAATTTGAAGTATAGCATATAAATTGTAAGTGTAAATAAGAAACAGTTTCCTCCTTTTAATAAAAGCTAACCTAAGAACTTCTGAGATTCAGCACTAGAAAGCCATCTCCTTTAGGAAGGATTCTGACCAAATACTCAGATGATAACTCTGTAGTTTCCTCTACGCCATGTGGTTCATTTACTTTGTTATGATTGCACACATTTTTTCATCCATGGTGAGAATCCTACTTCTTTTTGATGCTGATCCACAGATGAACTATTTTGGATCCCTTTAAATGGCCTGAGATAGACTAAAACAATCTAGTTTACTGCCTCTACTCCAGGAGTTTCAAAATTAAGGCTCTGTCCATCTGTAACACTTTTGTCCTGTACTGAGTATTCCAGACTCTGAAGTCTCTGACATCCTTGTCCTCCTTTACCTGCACTGTTTGTTTTAGATCATTCCATTTGAAATCAAGACAAGAGAAACTTGTTTCTTGTCTCTCTTCTGTCTCTGAACTTCTACCTTTTCTTGAGGTGAATGATGTGAAAAATTCACCTTACTGTTTCAATCATTCTGTCATGTAATTTTGTTTATTGGCTGTGCAAACATTTTTAAGTGCCTGTTGGGTGTCACATATGGTACTAGTTGTTAAGGGAACACTCCTTGTCCTTGAGCTAATGGTTCTTGTGGTCTAATGAGGGAAGTGCACATTAATCAAGCTTACACAAGTATATAAATAAAAATTGTGCTATGTATTGTGACAGAAAACTGTGATGGGGCTGGGCCTGGAGGTACAGGCTTGATTATAAAAGCCTTACCTGAAGAAATGGCTTTTGAGTTGAAATCTGAAAATCTAAAGAAGAGTAATTGTAATGGAAGTGAGAATAGTGTGTACCCAGATCCTGAGGCAGGAGGAGACAGGATAGGTGAAGTGGTGGACAGGAAGAAGACCTATGCAAGTGAAACGTGGAGAGTGGGAGAAGTGGAATGACAGTGTAAAGGCAGAAATGGGTCTTGTAAACAGCGAAAGATTTAAATCTTAACTGCAATGAGAAGCCATTGGAGGAGTTTTAGTAGGAGAGAAGCATAATCATACTTGTGTTTTGAAAAGGCCAGTCAAGCTGCCTGCAAGAAGTAGGTACTAACTTTGTAAAGTGATAGTGTCTTGAATTTTGTTGAACTCTAGATAGTAGGAGTCCTTTGGAGATTATAATTGTTCTAATATGCTATACTAGTTACAGTAGTTCAGGTGACACCTGCCATTTTTTGGTTTGGCCTGGTAGTAGAGATGAAAAGATTAAACTGATTGGAATTATTAAAGATGCAAAAAGATTATATTAAATATTAAAGATGCATTATGATTTAGTTGATTGATGCATTATGATTTGAATATGGGATGTCTGGGGTACTGGATTGCTTGTCTGAAAAGCTATGAAAACATTTATCCTATTGTACTTATGGTTAAAGAAAGCTTTATAAAGGCTGTATCCTCTGGATATCTGAAGGTCATTGGTTTTTAAGACCATCTGTTTAGACTTACAAAGTGCAGAAAATCTTTAAATTATGTATGGCTCAGGCTCAACACTATTCCCCCCAGGTTTTATCCCTGTGAGAGTATTTAAAAGTTCAGTGCTTAGCTCTGAAAATAAAGGTTTGTAATGGAAATGTGGATGAATCTTTTGCTTCAGTGGTCCTATTAAAACATTCAGTCCTGGTAAGATGCCCATAAACCAATGATCTTGTGTATGCATGCATGCCACTTTGGCCAAAGCATTAATGCCACCTAGGTTCAAGATGTATAAAGACAAGACTAATTCAGCAACTAGGCCAAGAGGTTTTATGTGGTAAGCAAGCTGACAGGTTTGGAATGAATATAGTTTTGAGAGGAAGAGTGGCTGACAATGATTTCACAGCCAAGTTCCAGCTTCTGAAAGTCATGTTACCTCTCTTAAGATTGATTGTAACTTAGAAACTTTTGCTCTAATATGCTATACTAGTTACAGTAGTTCAGGCGACACCTGCCATTTTTTGGTTTACATGAGAGTTTATTTCAATTAGAAACTTCATTTGTAGGATTAACGATGGAGCTGGCACTTAACAAGAGTGTAATGGCTCAAGTGGTCATTATCCTTTAGTTCCCTAGGCTGTCAGCTTCACTATGATTTTTTTGTTTGCTGATTCCTAGCCTCCCCACCCCAGCCCTCACATTATCATCATCGTTGTCATCAAAAACCCCACATCACTATAGGCAACTACTTTGAAGGCAGTAAGATTCACTATGATGCCCATTCTGGTTTGACTATTATCCTCTTTTGAGGTTCTGTAAGATTTACAATGTTTAGGTTCTATTGGTCTTGTCCTCTACTGTTTTATTCAACTTTATAATACCTAATGAGATAGACAATTCTTCTTAAGCATGAGGCATTATGGTAACCATTTTTGATAACCTTGTACTCTGTTTTTACATCATGTGCTATGTCTATCCTTGTTTTTGACTGACAGCTTTGTTTTATCATGCTTGATTTTATTCTCTTACAAAAAAAAGTAATAAGATCTAAGGGAGCAATAAAACCCAAAATGTGTAAATTTTGTTGTAATAAAGAGGAGAGGGGGAAAAAAGTGCCCTAAAGGATACAACAGCAAGGGTGTTTAGGTGTGTTAAATAGAAGACCATATTAATATTTTTGATTGGATTCTGAACACAACTATTTGCAGTCTCACTGTTTGAATGTTCACTTTGTATGCTTTGATCCTGTGACCTGAAACACCGTTTCTAAGATGATAGCGTGTAATCTATTAACTGGTGATAGCTTACTGTTTTTTTTTTTTGTAGTTTTGAATTACTTGTACCCTTACACTGTTTTGTTTTGTTCTGCTTTTTTTCTTTTTCCTTAAAAAAAACCCCACATCACTAAGAAATT